TGGGAGGAGCTGGTGTATTACACAGTCCCACTCATTCAGGAAATGGAGTCACGAATCAGGATCCCTCTGAAGACCTCTCCCCTGCAGTAAAGCTAGAGAATGAGTCTGTACCCACGTAAATGTCTGTGGCAAGTATTTATCATGAATTAATTTAATTGTATATCAAGTGAAAAAAGAAACTGAATTATAAATGGCTGTACATAGCTTACAGGAGGCTCTTTTCTCTAAAGCTGACGTAATCATGAGAAAGGAGACCGTATTACAGTGACTGTAGCAGTGCTCCGCCAGCCTCTCTGAGACCCCCATAAATTTGTCAAACCAACTGTGGAAGACTTAGCCTTCCCTCCCTCCCTCCCTGCCAGATTAAAATTGGAATCATTTCAGAATAAGATTCCAACCATGAAAAAAAAATCAACCATTTCTTCTAAAAAGCAAATGCATTTTTTTAATCACAGGTTTTGACAAATTTCTTGTACTCAGAAGAAATACGAATTTTATCATGTTTCTCAAGCAGTTTTCCCGAGTCTCAAGCTAGGCACTGTTATGAGTGTACCCAGCACTGGAGATGTTTGAATTCACTCTCCTTTCTCACCAGTCGGAATAGAGCCGGCCGTGGAGGACAAGGTGCATTTAACTAGTAATTCGCACAGGGCACATGGCGCCCCCATGACGGGGGAAGAAGGCCTGAACCTATGTACCATATGTGATTTTTGAAATGAACACATTGAATAACACTAATTTTTATTTGTCATATTTTTCTATAAAACAAGTAGTACTTGGCAAAGAGGTTTTATTTTGTAAAGAATCACTTGTAACCTCCATCGGTCCCCGGTAAGGGTTTCAGGAAGCACATAGCGGACTCCCAAGACGGTGTGGAGGGCAGTGCATGATGAGGTTTTAGTTGGCCTAAAGCTGCATACAGTGCTTGGCCTCGCTCTGTGTGATTTCCTTTTAACACAGTGTGCCAATCTCCTGACTGTAATCATGTGAGTGACCTGGTGAACTGGAAAATTCCATGTGCCCCACAAGTTGAAGAATTTATGTGTAAAATAAAGCGTGCAGAAATCTCATATCAGATGTCAAACTTTTACATGTGACTGGTTTCCTCCAAGAAAATACCAAAGTCAATAAACCCCTCTCAGTTTTCACATAAAAAAATAAAAAGACTGAGGCACTGTGCAGCACGTCCCAGCTCAGAGCTCTGCTCCAGCCTGTGAAGAGGAGAGAAAAGGAGCAAAGCCCACCACTCTGAATGAGAACTTGGCTTCTGACTCACTCTGAAGGGCAGCTCCCTGCCTGGCCACAGAGTCCGTGAGATCCTATTTGGTCTTTGACCACAAAGGTTCTTGAGTGGGTGAGCGACCTGCAGTCATTCTTCAGCCCAGAAGGCCATTGGGACAGAACAAGCCAAGGCCAGCTTCACACCTGCCCAAGAGATGACTGCTTCCACAGAAACAATGACAGGAAGAAAGAAGGGTCCTCCCTGCAAGGTGTTTGGGGTTAATCATGGGAGAAAACCAAAGAGAAGAGGAATATCTCTGACAAGAAGTTGCCAAAGCAGCAGCCTGAGAGTTGGCTACACAAGATCAGGTCCATGTCAAGTCTCCAGATTCCCTGGGCTGAAGCAGGTGACAGCCGCTGAGGCCGACTATACATAGCATCAACCTCCAGCCACACCCTGACCCTCACAGGTCACCCCTTCCATGCCAGGTCTCACTGATAAAGGACCAACTTGTCAGGCGGGACCCCACACCCCAAGAATGCAGCACTTTCCAAGCAGCAAAGACCATTCAAACTCTCTCCTGTGCATTGCCTTAGCACAATGAATATCCAGACCATCCTGAAGAGTCCAGTATAGAGAGTTGAGCTCCTCTGAGCAAGGGCTTTTTTCAACCGAAGTAGTTCAGGACTCTTATAATCACCCAGGAGCCTCAAATCCCAAGCCAGGCATGGTTTCCATGACAACCAAGCTATGCATAAGGCTTTGACGTTAAGGGCCTCATTGCATGGAAAATGATACAATATTTTAGATTTTGATATTTCCAAAAGAGCCCTTCATAGACATCTTGGAAGAACACTGCTTTTCCGTTATAAAACTCAGGACAGAATGGTTACAGGCTTCACTGCTTACACAAGGGCTTTTATTCCAACAAATATTTTCAGGCTTTAGATACAGCTCACATTTTATCTGCACTATACCTCCCATCTCCCCCATCTTCCTTCCCAGCAGCAGGTCCTAATTAAGAAGGCCGAGGACCCAGACAGGGTTTTATTAGTCAGAACTAAAGAGAAACAACAGGTTTGTAGGCATTGCAGGACTTAATAAAAGAATACCGATATTAAGTAAATGATGAGAAGCCTGTAATATTCAGCCTCTACCGGGCTCATCAGAGGTGGGCTCTAGGGATCCAAAGCAGAGGCGATTGTGTCAGCAATTCGGGACACGGTGGAGGTAGGATCAGCAACAGCTAGGCACATGGACCATCGGTGCCAGGCAGCTGCAGAAAGGTGCGGCCCTGTCTGCTTCCCATACACTATCACTCTGCAGTCCTCATCTCCACTTACCCTGTCCCGCATCAGAATAGTGTTGATTTCTCTTCACAGACAAGGAAACTGAGGTCACTGGTACCTCGCTAACTTGACCCAGAATGCACAGCTAGTGAAGGGCAGAGCCAAAGTTGGATCCCTGGGCTATCTGATCTGAAGGCCCATGTGCTCAATAGCAGTACAGTGGGGCTTTGATGATGGGGCAGGGCAGGGACACAGGATTCAAGCCCAGGCTCAGTGGTTAGAGAGCCCACTGTCTCTGGGCCTCACATCCCAGAGCCGTAGAGTGAGATAACAGAAATGAGAATAGCATTTCGAGGAAAGATGCTAGGGAGCACAGGACTGGGGTAAGCAGAGACCCCAAGACTCTTCTGTCTGAAAGAGGATCTCTTACTCTTTCTAGCCCACTACCAGGATTACCACATCTGCCAAGTGCATAAAGGGAAGATGGAAATCTGGTTTTCATGTTTTTACAAAGCCACCTTACCTAGGGTATTTTAGGACAACAATATCAACAGAGTAAGATGACTTGCTTCTGAGCAACCAAGCAGAGGCCACTTGTGTGATATTAAAGCCACCAACTTCAGTTTTCAGTCATTCTAGAAGTGACCTCAAGTCTCCATCACCTTACAGATTCAAAATTAAGAACAGTAGGGTGGCTCCAGTTAACAATATGCTAGTGCATATTTTCAAATAACTAGAAGAGAAGATTCTGCATGTCCTCCCCACAGATGTGGTAAATGGTTGAAGTGGTTGATAAGTGCCCTAATTTGATCATTCATTATACATTGTAAACATGTGTGGAAACATCACACAGCACTCCATAAACACTGACAATTACTGTGTATCACTTTAAAACAATCTTAAAATGTGCATGGAACCAGAAGAGATCCAGAACTGCCAAAGCAATCTTGAGAAGGAAAAAAAAAGCAGGAGACATCACAATTCTCGATTTCAAGTTATATACTCCAAAGGTGGAGTAACAAAACCAGCATAGTACTGGCACAAAAATAGACATATAGACCAAAGCAACAGAATAGAAGAAACAGAAACAAGCCTATGTACCTACAGCCAACTGATTTTTGACAAAAGTGTCAAAAACATACATGGGAGAAAAGATAGCCTCTTTAACAAATGGCACTTGGGAAATGGGTTACCCATGTGCAGAAAAATGAAATTAGACCAGTATCTCTCACCTTGTACTAAAATCAAATATAAATGGGTCAAAGGCCTAGATATAAAACAGTTTTAAACTACTACACTTGATCTTAGACAAAAGGCCAAGAAGCTGAAACACTTTGAAACTTCTAAAAGTCAAAGAGGGGAAAACATTTGAAACCATGGGCACAGGCAAGGACTGCCTGGGCAGAACGCCAACAGAACAAGAAATAATACCAAGAACCAACAGGTAGGGCCACATCAGATTAAAAAGCTTCTACACAGCAAAGTAAACAATTGACAGAGTCAAGAATCAAACTACAGAAAAGGCAGAAATTGCCAGCTACACTGCTGATAAAGGACTAATGTCTAGAATACACAAGGAACTCAAAATAATCCCCCCAGACCAGCAACACATTTTAAATACGGGCAAATGAACTGAAAAGAAGTACTTTTCAAAGGAAGAAGTACAGGGCTGGGGATGTAGCTCAGCAGTACAGTGCTTGCCTGGTAAGCACAAGGCCATGAGTTCAATTCCTGGTACCAAAAAGAAGTACAAATGGCCAATAAATAGGGGAGAAAAATGTTCATCATCTGTAGCCTTTAGCAAAATGCAAACTAAAGTTACTCTGAGATTCTGTCTCATCCCATCAGATCAGCTGTTGATGGATGTTGGGGAGCATCTCTGCATTATTGGTGGGAATGTGCAGTAGCACAACCACCACGGAAATCATTGTGGAGCTGCCTCAGAAAACTGGAAATTGAAATTCTATGTGACCCGGCTATACCTTCTCTGTGTATGTTCCCAAATGAGTTAAAGATAACAACTATATTGATAGTTCACACCCAAGTTTATAATAGTGTAATTTACAATAGTTAAGCTCTGAAAACAGCTAAATGCCCATTCACAGATGAATGGATAAAGAAAATGAGGACATATATATATATAGATATATATATCAGCCATAAAGAAGAATTAATTCGATTCATTTTCAGGAAAATGGATGGATCTTGAGACAATAATGTTAAGTGATATAAGTCAAACACAAAAAAGTTAAATATCACATGGTTTCTCTCTATATGAGAAACAAAATTATAAACAAATTAGAGTAAAATAAAGGCAGAGTTTTTGAAATCGGAGAAGGAGATCAGGATAGGAGAATCAAAAATGATCAAGATATATTTATATATATATACTAATTCCCCCAAAAGAATGCAAACATCATATATTACAAACACACATCAAGTTTTTAAATTTCTAACTTTAAATAAAATTTTATCAAAGGAATTCTGACCTTTAGGAACAGGGGGAGAAGACTCAGCAGGCTCCTCCGATGTCCTGGGCTCCCATGTGCCAACTGCTGGTATTCCAGAAACTTCCTTTCTAGCATATCCCAGAGAGCCGTGGGGCTGGGGCTCTGCCCTCCAGGTGGGGAATCAGGCTGCCCTTCATTTTGGGAGCCTGGGTCCTCAGCTCTATCTTCAGTCTTTGGGAACTCTCCAGCCTCCATGCTTGACAAAGCAGATCTGAATCCAGAGCAAACAAATGAAAATGAAAAGTACTGCCTGCCTTGTCACTTCCTGGCGATCGTCTGTGGGACGAGGTTCTGTACTCATTCTGCTCAGTTCCTACTGATGGCAGTTCCTCTAAGAACCTGAAACTCATCCAAATGAGGAAGGCTTTTGAATAAAGAGAGTCATATTTGGATGAAAGTAACATGTAACTGACAATCCAGTGTGTGCCAGGCATCGGGCTATACTCACTACACAGACAAAGAGCAATGGCTGTGCTTGTCCTCCGTATGTAAGGAAAGAAACCCTCAAGGCCAAGATGAATGAGCAACCAGACCTCAAGTCCAAACACAAGCTTTTAACACTAAAGCTTGCTGGTATTTTTTAATTACTCCCTACTTTAACAGTAAGTAAAGGAGATGTGTAAAGGGCCAATAGAAATAATCCAATGTGTGTTTAAATTTTTTTAAATATTATAGAAAAAGATGCATTGCCATGAATACCCCCCCAAAATACTCCCCCTTGGTTCAAACACATGTATCCCATCATTCCTGCCACCTTCTGAAGCAGTTCTGCAAGTCTTCTTTTGTGAGCATCTTTACCAAGTATGATCAAAAGTACAATGAATGTTGCTGCCAAGTGCCATCCAATGGAAAAGCGGATTCATAAAAACACTACAGTGTGTTCTCAACCACCATATTCAATGAATCTGGCATTACATGACTTCTGGCTCTTTCCCAAAGTCAAAATGATCATGAAAGGTTTTGAATTGATTCAGGACATCAAAGCAGCCATGACAGTTTAACTAAAGACACTCATGAAAAAGGACTTCCAGAGCTGCTTCAGAAAGTGGCAAGAATGATGAGATAACTATTTAAAATGAGGAGACTATTCTAAGAGAAATTAATGGCATGCATCTTTTACTGTAATAAATTTTATAAATTAAATATTCACCATGTTTCAGTCATGCCTAGTATTTTACCAGTATTTGTAAAGGCGTGTAATTCTTTTTTAAAAAGCATTATTTATTTTTAAAATTGCTTAACGAAGATATAATTCATGTACCATACAATTCACACATTTAAGGTTATGTAATTCCATGCTTGGGGTGTATTATATCATTACATTTGTAAAGTTGTAGCAGTGTATATGTGTGTCATTTCAACTATTTTTCAGTCCACAACTAAGTAGCATAAGTACATTCACAGAGGTATGCAGCTGTGGCCACTGCTTATTTCCAAACCTTTCTGGAAGGTGTGTGATTCTACATCAAATAATCACTTCCTTCTACTTCATGAGTCTGGAAAGATAGATCCTTCATTCTCAGCATTATGTTTGTTCACACTCAACAGTTTTAGAGGACCCTGTCCTCACAATGACCCTATAAGTCCCCAGGCTTACAGGAGCCCTCTACAAGTGCACACGGAGATGATTTGTGCAGACCCAGAGCCCAGAGCCAGTAGATGAAAATAGCCAAGAACCATTTCTCTGATACCTCCACACCTATCTTTGACTTTTCAGTTGTTCAACTGTTTAGGTGAGTGGTGATTAACTCACAGCGTAGCAGAGGGTTGTGGTTTGTTTGTCTGTAATATAATAAACTCTAAGGACAGATTGAAGTGTCCAGACTCCCTGCAAGAAGCATCCCACAAACTCAATGCCACCATGTGGGAACCTACCCACAATCGCAGAGTAGCAACCAGAGGGACACGCAGAGGCAGGTCACCTGGAGTCTTGCTCTTGGCTACACAGCAGAAGGGGCACCTCATGCTCTATTTCTGGTTCAGCCATACATTCTTTGGAGGCTAGAATGGGAGTCAGTCCTGTGTCACTTGGGAAAGCTAACCATTCCCCCTTGAAATTTTCTCAAACTTTATGTGTACGAACCTGTGTGTCCCTGGCTTCTCTTCAATCACACATGCTTCTTAGCTCAGACTTCATTTACAGAAATCATTTCCTTTGAGTGAACAAGTTGTTGTATATCCACACAATGAAATACTATACAACCCATAAAAATGGAATGAACTATTGACACACGAGTATCAAAACATTTTGCCAAGTTAAAGAATCAAAACACAAAAGACCTCAAGTAAATGATTCCATATGTGAAACTAGAAAAGAAACTATCTTGTTAGAAAACAAATCAGTAGCTGCTGGAGACTGAGAGTGAAGAGGAAGGAGTTTGATGGCAGGGTCAAAATGGAATTTTTGTGGCTATGATAATGTTTGATATTGACTGTGGTGGTGGCTACATGCATGTTTACATTTGATAAAACTTGTGAAATGTAAGCTTTAAAAGTGTGGCTATAGTTTGGATCTGAACTTGAAAGGTTGGCCCCGAACTTAGTGTTCTTGGCAAGTGACAGGACCTTTAAGAGCCAGGGCCTAGTGGGAGGTCTTCTGGTTATTGGAGGCATGGCCTCCACAGACCTGGGGGGACCCTAGCCCTCCCTATTTCTGCCTTTCTCTTTCCCATTATGAGGCTTCCTTGCCACTCTACTGCCATGAGCAAGAGAATCATTCGGTCATGGACCAAAACCTCCAAAACTGTGAGCCAAAATGAACCTTTCTCTAAGATGACTTGCTCTAGGTATTTGTTGCAGCCATAGAAAGCTGATGCTGGTGTATTTTATATATGTAAATTCCAGCTCCAAGTCAGTTAAAAATTATATGGAGAATGAAGACTCAGTTGCACATTGAAAAGCAGAATACAAAACAGTATAAAATCAGAAAACATTTTCTTAGTACAAAAGCCATGTCAGTTTATCGTCAAAAACTGGGAAGGAAGGAAATATCAGGAAGAACATAAAATCTGCCTATCCCCAGAAAAATGATTGCTGATATTTCAGTTTGTATCTATAACTGTGTTGTCTAATAAGAACATACTTTAATGCTGCTAAAGCAAGGTTTTTATATATACTTTGCTTTAACTGGGTGGTTGGCTGGGGCTTGGGGGAGACTCTTGGCTTCTTTCGGGGGGTTGAACCCCAGGGAGGGCGGTGGAGCTGCTCACAGTCAACTCTGTCCCTGACTTGGACAGGCTCCTGTCTGGCTTTGTTCACTTACTCATGGAATCCCTGGGCTTCTGCTCCTTGCTCCTACCCTCTTGAGCACAGCCTCTCCCCCAGGACCTAATATCCTCTGCTTGCCTGCATTTCCAGGGCCCGGTGCTTCCTGCGTCTCACTATTTTCACTCAGCATTATGTCCCCAGATCGGAGCATTGTCAAGTCTGCTCCCTCTAACACAGCCTTGTGCCCCAAAGTGGACATCATATCCTTATTAACTTGTTTGTTCTCAAAGTGACTTGGATGGCTGGATTATGACTTCTGGGTCTGCACACAGTGCCACAGGGGACAGGTCCATGCAGGTCCCCTCAGGGACCTCATGAGACTCTAATACGTCCTCAGGAGCAGCATACTTGACTGAAGGACACATGCCTGCCCAAGGCTACCTGGTCTCACAAGACGGCTCCAGAGAGCTGCACCAACCACCCTGCTCCACCGGGCAGGCCAGGGCTCCCTGTCGCTTCACTGCCTCCTCTCACCTTGCATCATCCGGCTTTCTGATTGAAGTCACCCTGTCATCTCATCAAACCACTGAACATGAACATCTCTCCAGATGGGGTTCCTCTCTGTGACCTGACTTCTATCCTGAGCCTACTTTTCCTTGCCTTCCAAGACAGAAAATGTTCTAGAAGCCAGTCTCTTGCTTCCGATCCATTTGTCTTATAAATTGCTGATAACTTTCTGTCCTTAAGATCCTCATCACCTTCATTTTCAATGGCCTTGTGCTAGCCAAAATAATGTTGATGGTTTATTTCACAATCCCACTCACCAGGCATGTAAGGAGTTACCATAAACAGCACTGGTGCAGCCATCTTTGGGTCTACTCAGGATCAGTAACAGTCCATAACACCTCCCAGAGTCCTAAACGCAGGTAAACTTTCTAGGCTCTTGGCCCATATTTCCCAGGAGTCTCCCTTAGAGCACCGCATCAGCCAGCAGTTAGTACCACCTTTTAAAAATCCCGAAGATTTGACAGGTACAACAGAAACAAAAGCTGATGCCGCCCTCCTATCCCTGGCTGCACGGTCACTGCAGCGGGAAGAGCTGAGCACAAGTCTGACTGCCTGCTCCCCACCTCTCCTGAGCTCTCTGCAGCTGCTGTCCTGGAGTCAGACCGGTGTTTATACACAGTGGAGTACTATTCTATCATAAAGAAGGATAAATTTGGTTCATTTTTAGGAAAACAGGTGAACCGTGAGACTATAACTTTAAGTAAAATAAATCAGACACACAAGCTTAAATATCTCATGATTTCTCTTATATAAGCAAGCCAAAGTATATATAACTTAAAGAGCAAAATAAAGATAGGTAATAGGAAACAGGGAGGTGGATCTCTTGCAAATGGAAGGGAATCAAAAGATGTAGGAGAGAGATGTAAAAAGAATTAAGATGTATCATGTACAGGCACCAACTTCCCAAGAGGAATGCAATCACTATGTACTGCAAACGTAATATAAAAATAAAAATTATAATTAATATTATAATAAATCATAATTATAATATGTCATTATAAATGAATTCATTGTAAATAAATTGGTATAGATTATAAATAAAAATAAATTAATAAATAGAATGATATAGATTGTAAAATTATAAATAAATTAATAATATGAATTATAATAAAATATAATTGATAATAAAAACACAAACTAAGAAAACAGAATTGGACTCCAGAATACGCTCTCTGCATGGGTTCTTGGCAGGAGTCCTCACCCTCTCCTCTCCTTGGGACTTTAATGACCCAGAGAGCCACATCCCCAGGAAGCACTAGCTCTCCAAAAGAAAGATCACTGTATTTGTGAGGGCCTGGGGCAAAGTAGCTGCTCAATAAATAAAGAGCTCTTGACTGAGTAAGGCAGCATCTGAAGTCAGGGAAGAGGGTGCCCCCTCCTAACAGCAACATAAACTTGAGACTCCTCTGTCCTCTCCCTTACCTTCATCTGTAGAAC